GTCCTTATTGGGAGACACCTCCTTCTTGGTTTCTCCTTCTGTCATGATGAATTAAGTTTTTTTCTCAATGGAAACGGAACTCTTCCAATTCTGGAGGGAATTGTTCTTCTATCATTGAAAAGCCGTCTGGTCAAGGTACTTTTTAGTACTTCCGAAGAATTTTGAGGTTGTGTAACCCTGTGCTGGCTGAAACACCGTCGCCGCGTTCAGTAGGGCCGGATGCACGTAAATGCGATGCAGATGACCTGTCCTTGAAGGCTGGCCAATGTCGGTGTCGCGCCGTCCGCTCCAAAAGTGTTCTCCCGCCCTCCTCGGCCATGCACCTCTGATAGTTCCCCACAAATCTGATTCACAATACCTTATCGCGCTATACATCTGAGAGTCCTTGTGTACCCGTTCAATGCCGCAGCCGTTTGAATGTTTTCGAGTCGAAACTTTTCAATTCCTGCAAAGAATCAGCTAACACAATTTGGTCCTTAACGCGCACGCGCTTTAAGTCTGGCGGTCAAGCGGCGACTCTTGTTGATACACCCCCTATCTAACTTTTGAAGCGAGCATAGCTTTCAAGATCTAGGAGGGCGTTCACTTTATTCGATGGTAGCGAAGGAAGGGCAAAATTCTGATATACAATTCTTTCATACCAGTCTCCCATATTTTGAGCGGCTCGAAAACTCACTGAGCCTCAACACATATTTTTCGTGTTTGTCCCCCTAAAGGTGCGTCACTGCCGAGCTTCAAGGTCCATCGTCAGACGAATGCTTTCGACCATGTAGGGAACTTCTCTGCAGGCACCGCAACAACGAAATAATTACTATCATGTTTCGCCAATTTCTTCTCCAATTTCTCATTTTTTTAACCTCAGAAACATGATCAAAAACATATCAGAAAAAGTATCAGCAAAACTTTAGAGCTCACAGTAAAGGGAAACAACAATTTATTACGCTATCCTGGCCATCGCATAGACAGATGATCACGTCGCCTAACTTTTTTCTCTCTCTCTCTCTTTCTGATTTTTCTGATACTGACTAAAAATCAGTTCCTTAACACTCGCATCGGTCCTTCTGGTCTTCTTTCACCAGGGAAACTAACATAACATTGATGATAACTAAAGGAATCTTCGTATTTATACCCTCAGGAAGTGCCGTTACCTAGAAATGATTTAAATTCCTTCGTTGCTGCTGACTTACCCTGATACCGGGGATACTTTGAACAGCCCTCGTAAATTTGTTCTTCATGCTAGCATGGGAAAAAGGAGGTTCTGAATGTTCTTGCCTGAAATAGTTAACCATTAATCTTTCTTTCGTGGTAAGACCTCTGCAATGCCTTTCGATGGAGCTTGGATTCTCCAAAATTTGTATGCAAAGCGATAGATAATGCGTTCTTCGATAGACATCACGTTCAAATCACGTCACCTCCGCTAATGGAGTCGTCGCAAGAGGCAAAGCTGTGAGTGAACTATAAAAGGGATTTCAGCTTTATGATACAATGGCTCGATGCTTTCTTCTTCCGTACGTAGGAAAGCCCTCAATAAAGTCCTTTGTTCGGGCAAGATTCTCAGCGCTGGATTGAAGCACCACATCGTCATTTTTGCCTCTTCCTTTATAATACTGCGAGGGATCTGGGGGTCTTCTTGCTGCTTCCATTGCTCCTACTCATAAATTTTCCCAACCTACAAATTTTCCACCATTCACATCACTGAGTTACATGTTGTCATTACTACTTCATGAAAACAAATGAATTTCCGCTTTTCTCGCATGAACTGAAAGACTTTCACTTGGAAATATCATAGCTTCTGATTAAAGATTGAATTTCCTGTTGATGTGATAAAACCCCGCCAGTAATGCTAAGATCACTTCCAGCGAATTTCATACAGCTTTTCTCTTCCTTATAGCTTGTTATTATACTACTGTATCGCCTGCTTCTGGTTCATAGGTTTTCTGGCCTTACCTGGGTTAGGGGAGAAGCAGGCGTGTTTCCAATACAGCGTCGCAAAATCATAAGGCCAAATATGGATGCCCTGAAAAAGACGCAATCGCTGAGATGTTTCCGAAAGTTTCAGAAAGAAAATGCTCAAATCAAATCCTAATACGCACGGGATCATCTCAAAACTTTGTGCTCAAAAGAAACGGGAAATTCTATATGAGCACTTTCTCCTCTCAAGTCTGCTCGGCAGAGTGATAACATGCCAATTTTATCACTATTTTCCAATTTTTTCGAGGGACATAAACCTTTCTCTTGCTTATAACATCTTCCATTCCAGGTAACAACAAAAAAATCCTTAACAGCGAAAGCAGTAAATAGTAAATAAAAATCTTCAAATTGAAATGTTCCGAATCATACTGAAACATCTTACAAAAGGAAATTCGGCGAATCGGCACTTTGATGAGGAGCGCAAGCAGTAACAAAAAAAACAGAAGCGGGATACGTCGTATAGCCGAGCGTGCGTAAACTAGGCAGCACTGGCAAAATCACCCAGTCACCCGGGTGTTCCGTCAGTGATCCTTCCAAATATTTATTCTAAAAAACCCTGGACACTAATTTTCAGAGTCGAAAAATGGCATTTTGCGGGGAAAAACTGGAATAGTACAAGGAGTGTGGAAGAATCTTCGAATCTCAGCATACCAAAGGGTGCTGTAGTTTGTCAAGGAGATCCATGCATCCCCTCTGAAACATTAGATAAACTTGGTAGTGGACAATAAACCTCTGCGAAACTAGGTCGCATTTGGCAACAGGTGCAGCCGAACCATTGCAAGCAAAGCTGGTTTCTAATCTGTGATCCGTGAAGTTGTATTCCTTTATTTGATTTCTTCCTGTGTGGTACTTGCTTTTCACGTGAGGAAATCTCCCACCCTCGTACGGACTCACCTGTCTCCGCAATCCCATACTTTATCTAACGCGAAAAACCTTTTATGTGGTGGCATTAGTTGCACTTCGAGAGCGGTACGATGCCGTCCCTCGTAATGTTTCATGACCTTCTTTTTCTCTATTTTTCCCATCTTAGAGGCTGGCCTATGGGGTTCGCTTGAGCAAAGCCAAGCACCATCTTGAAGCGTGAGACATGAAAGAGATTCCATAACTTGTGCAATTAATTAGAACCAGATTTCTCCCCTACATTACGACATTTTATTTTAACTGAAGTAAAGGAGAGTGTCAAGGGCTAGTTGAAGTTCTATGTCCTGCAAGATCCTGGAACAAATTGTGACAACTAATGTAATCATTTCGGCCTGAAAACTTTACACGCTTTACAATTCACTGTCCTTGCTTTCTTTTTGTACTGTTTGCGCCCCCATCCAGGGCTGAGAGCTGTTCCCTTTCTGCCATAACCTCAAAATGAAGAAGAGACGAAAAGAGAACATGAAAGAGTACTAGTGAACAAAGGTGAAACAAATGAAAGAAACATGTAGTGGCCTTGTCACTATGCGACGTCGACAAATTGGCGTTTGCTAGGAAATGATCATGAAAATTCCGTCTCCTCAAACTGTAGTTCTACATAATTAAATGTATGTATTTGTAATTATCTCTGTCATATAGCACGAATATTCTCCACTTTTCCAATGAAATTGAAGAGAAGATTGTTTACGGGCTAGCCGCTCAATCCATGGTGCCGCATGAAGAGCACATTATTCCATAAAGTATTACCAGTGCTATAAGTGTTAATAGCTCGTCATCATTGGCGTGCGCATTTGGTTTTGTATTTGACGGATTTATGCCTGCTGAGGCTTTTTTGAGATATCTCAGGAACCAAAGGTTAGGAAATCATTAGTAGGCTATCATTTGTGCATGGTATGTATCTGCATAGTCAGCAAATTCCAAAGGTAAGCGGAGCCTCAGACGAAGTGGGACAAATCAGTTTGGATAGCAAAGTGGACCACGCGGCGCTTTGCCAGGCAATGGCCCGACGCAGTGTTGGCCAAGCGATGTCGGCATATGACCTGACACATAGACTTTATCTTCAATCTTGGAAACGCCATGAGCGCGTGAAATGGGGGCGCAAGAGGAGAGAACTGAGCTGTGTTGCGACTTCTGGTGCAGAGCCTTTTGTGAAGACCTATATGCCCCTGCAAATCTATGGTCTACAAGTAGCTTCATTTACACGTCACTGTTCCTCGAAATGTTCGTTCCTCTGAAATGAAGTGTTCGTTTTCTGCACCCGGTAGTTCTAGATGTCGTCGGGAATCCTCTGTCCGGACCTTTCTGCTCTCGTTCTGCGGGCCTGGTAAAATGGAATATAATGGACTCATAGAGTAAAAGGAGGCGGATGTGGTGTAGTGGCAAATGTCATGCTTACCATCCACGCGGTGCGAGGTTCAGATCCGAGATCCGCTCCGCCTGGGACGGTGAAGTTGGTACCAGATTCGTCTGGGAGGATAAAACACTGACTTCTACATCGCTGGTCCCGCAAGTCATTGTATAGGCTACGTATCATTCAATAAGCCACTACGATTCTGAAAAGAGGTTGGTCAACGGCCAAGACTTTTCCTTTGACTTATACAGAATCCAAGGTGAAACTAGCACCAATTTATAACTTCACGAGGGCTTGAAGGTCCTACAAAATGGCACGATACTGGCAAAATGCATCCCCTCCCCCGCCTGAGGCCCAAAGGAGTCATCAAATGCCAATTACACACTGTTTCATTCCTTTCTCGCGGACCTTTGAGTGACAATATCTCCTCAAACCTCTGCATTCATGCGCCTTTTCCTCACAAAAACTCTCTCTTGATGTTTCTCAAATATTTTTTCATAATTTCCAAGAGCCTTCACGCTGACTAACCATGTAATTTGGATAGCTTCTGCCCAAAAACTTTTGCATTCTCATGACTCCGAAAAGTTCGTTAATTGCTGAGTATCAGATGGCTGGTGCTTGCCGTCGACGTCAGCCATCGTCATCGTTGAAGCACTCGTGAGACTTCTCCTCGCATTCTCACACAAAGGCGTTTTCAGGCGTTAGCTTCTTCTCTCAACATTCCTAGTTCAAGGGCTAGTTCACTGGCTCCTTGGTGATGCCCATTTACAAGCCATCCCATACTGTTCACAATTCCTTTCTGCTCAACTCCCTTGTCTTTCTACTGATGCTTCTTCGGGTGCAGTACATTACTTTATGGTAAGTTGTTTCAATTTTTGAGGTCCGAGAGTAACCGTTTCATCCGGGAGAAATATCCCAAGCCAATGAGATATCGGGAATTGTTGTCGCTATGTGAAAGTGCTGTTCAAACATTGTCCGAGTACTCGGTTTTGGGAGGATCGTTTTCTTTAGCAAATACTCCCGCACATCATCTTGGAACTCCAAGCAGACACTTTTCTCAGAGTGTCTGGGGCTCAAACTGTCAGAAAAACCAAACTGGGCCAGGGATTTTCTTGCGATATTTTAGAATTTTTTAACTTTTTTTTCATAGACTAGTTAGGGGGATCTGTAAGTCATCGAAAACCTTTTTCAGCGAAGCGGATGCGACTTCAGACACGGAGATCATCAAGAAGTTGCTAGGAAAAGGCTACGACTGGAGAGTGCGACCGCCTGGCATCAACCTCACAGTTAAAGGTAAATTACTTTTCTTAAAGGCAGTCCAGCGGAGGGGAGGGCATTTCGTACTTTTGCTCCATTCATTCCGGTTTACAAGCCTTACTCTGGTGAAATCTGTGAACTCTTGAAAGCTCCCGACATGATTCTCTAGATGGGTCGACACGTCGATGGGAAGTAGCGAAAGAGCAAGGAGTATGCACTCCTCTTGTTTCTTAGTTGGTACAGAGGGGGGTAAGCAATTTGAAGCGGCCAGGTTATTATGAAAGCAGTTTGTGTATTAAGATTTCGTGGTTTGCCGAGGAAAGAGTGCTCCCCCCTGCTCACCAAACTGCTCTCTTTTCTTATACAATTTTTTATTCTCTAAATTATAAGGCTGCACAATTGTCCGAAAAGAAGTGAGGTGTTGAGAGCTCTCTAAAAAATTCAGCAGCTTCTAAGAAAGACGAACCTCATAATAAACAAGCAATGCTGTTACGAGGAATATTCTCTCAGATGAAGGGGGTCCCACTTAATACACAGACTGCTTTCATAACAATCTCCTCTTTAGATTGCTTACCCCAACTATACCAACTAAAAATAAGGGAAGAGGAGGGCATACTAGTAAGAGCACAGAAAAGGTGAGGACAACCGCGTTGCTCATTTAGGGGGGATGTTCGGCTTTCTACTCACTAATAGTTCTTTCACATAGCGAATGGAAATATTGCAT